AAGCAGCTGCAGTACACCCACCACAACTCTCACTACGCCTCATCGAGAGACGGCACCGCCACAATGTCTCGTCCTCCTATGCTTCCGCCTTTGCCGACGGGATTCGGAGAGAGCTCAGGTCCGTATCCTCCAGTTCATCAGAGCAATGGTCATAGTCAAGGTCCGCCGCCATTACCGCCTCAACCGCCAGGCATGCTTCAACGCGAGCAGCAGCTTCGACAGCAAGGTAGAACATCAGCAGGCGGTGGCGGTGTTGGCGCGTATGGACCTCCTACGCCTTCCATCGTCCAACCTCAAGCTCATCGAGCTAGCTATGCCCCCGGACAAATCATCAGCAATGGTGCTCAGAGCTTTGGACAGCATCATGTAGGAGGATTTGCTGCGCCTTCCCAACCCATGCCGGCTCCCAGTCCTGCTCAACGGCCTCAGTACGGTGCGGCCCTGCAGCCATCTTCTCAGCATCAACGTTATCAGAGCTTGCAAGAACTGTCGATGATTCACAGACCCGCATCTGCCGCTCCTTCTTTTGGTGGCTACCCAGCTCCTTCTGCTCTACCCTCACACATGGCCGGTCAGCATGTTGATGGCGGATCAAGAACATTCTCCGTGTCTCACTCTGAGAGCATGCCTCAAGGTCTGGGCGGTGGGAGCAGCAACCCTGTACCTGCATTCGACAAGTTAGGCTTGGGAGCGGGAGCGGGACACCACGATGCGGGAGTCAGGAGAGCAAGCGCGAGCGAAGCTAGCGGAGGAGCAGGTCATAATGGATCATCTGCTCAGCAAAATTTGGGCGGTGGTGGTGGTGGCGCACCACAGGTGCTCAATGCTCCCTTGCCAGATCTTGGCTCCCTGGGCAACATAAGAGATCGCGCAATGGCGAGCGGCGATGAACGCAAAAAGCTGCAGTGGGCCAAACAGGTTGTCAAGTACGTCGAGAGAAAGCACGATGGCACAAGGATATCTGACCCTGCGCTCGTGCGCTATGTGGACGAAGCCATCTCCTTGGTGAGGCGGTTGCGTTCAATCCGGAGAGGGGAAAAGATTACTGAATACGAGTTATCCCTATGTAGATTATGAGGAGAGCGTCCATCAACCCTCCGGATGTCGAAGCGCTGTACCTGAGAGGCGATTTGCAAGCCAGTGGCGCATTCCCGACATACCTGCGCAAAGATCTCAAATCCGCCTTCAACGACTTTGAGCTTTCGGCGAGGATGGGACACGCACCCAGCTGGTTCCGCATCGGTCGCGATTACGAAGTCTTGAATGACGCCAAGCGAGCTTTGGATGCATACAATAGGGGTGTCAACGCCTCTGATACGGGATGCGTCTATCGGATGGGTATGGCTAATTTGCTAGGACAGCTGAATCTGCCCGTGGATCATACTCGCGCCGTTACGCTGCTTCGACAGGCAGCCGACTCCGCAGATCTGGACACGCCTCAGCCAGCATACATATACGGCATGCTCCTCGCTGGTGAGTTGGGTCTTGCTATCGGTGCGCCATCGCATCGCTTCTGGGCTGACCGATCCGCTGCGACACTAGGCGAATTCTCGCACGTGGAGATACCTCAGCACCTTCTGAAGCCGACGCCGGATCCCCGCAATCCTCGCGCGCCAGCCACTCTTCAGACAGAGGCTAGGAGGCGCGTGGAGAGATCCGCCTACCTCAACTTTGCTCCAGCTCAGTACAAGGCTGGATGGTCGTACGAGTATGCTCAGCTGGACTGTCCCTTTGATCCGCTCTTGTCAGTGCAGTACTACTCCTTGGCCAGTCAGGGAGGCGAGATCGAGGCGGACATGGCCCTGTCCAAGTGGTTCTTGTGCGGCGCTGATGGCTGCTTCGACAAGAACGAAGATTTGGCGTTCACCTTTGCCGAAAAGGCTGCTCGCAAAGGTCTGGCAAGCGCAGAATTTGCTCTGGGATATTACTACGAAGTCGGCGTTGGCTGTGAAAAGGATGTGGATCAATCGAGAAAGTGGTACAAGCGGGTGAGCGAAAAGCGCTGCGCTGTGTTAGGATCGCAGCGTTGGTCATACTGATAATTCTTGTTCTTCTGCGCGACCAGGCCGCTACGCAGGGCAACACAGATGCCAAAGAGCGCATAGAAGCGCTCGACGGCCCTGCGCCTGCTGTGCTCTCTAGGGTGGAGCACGAAGCCCAGATCGATGCCAAGCTGGTGCGCAAACGTACCGAGGCCAAAATGCTCTCCGATCGAGCTGGCCGTGGCAGAGCGCAAGGGGGCAACAATGCAGGCGCTGCCGCCCAAAGTAATACGGGCGGAAGATCGGGAGAAGCGGGTGGTGCGGTCGGAGGAAAAGGAGGAGGAGGCAGACAAGCAGCTCACGATCTTTCGCGGAAGCGCACCATGCGGATGGTGGAGGAGACCACAGGTGCACCCATCAGTCAAGCAGGAGGACGCGGACGAAGAGCTGGACGACAAAGCGAATCTGCTGCTGTGCCAAGCCTCACGAGCGGTCCGACACAGCAGCAAGGTCGTATGCCCCAACAACAACCTCAGCAGCAGGGGGGAGCTGCGCCGCCCCCTGCAACGAATCAGCCTGGCAGGCACGGTTCGGGCTACTCGCTGGCGGAGACATACGCGCCAACTGCCACTCCACCCCGCAACAATGCGCCTTTGCCCGCTCAGCAAAGACCATCTTA